TGAACATGATGTAATCTATGCAGAAATAGAAGTATAATGATGTACACCTGAAATTTATACAATGTTATAAACCAATGTTATAAACTGCAATAAACAAAAAATTAAAAAAAAATGCATGAATTATCAGACACAATTAAAAAACATAATAGACATTAAAAATGTTTTTTCATCCTTTCAAAACTTGATAAAAACCCAAGGAAGGAAAAAATTCGTTCTGTCTGTCTTTCACCATTCCCTGCCAGAGGCTCTGGATGTTAAGAGCAAAGGATTTACTGATTCTTTGGCTGTGGATACATTTTGTAATCTCTGTATCAGATTTCTCCACTGTAAAATAAGGATGCTGACCCAGATAATCTCCAAAACCCTTTTAACACGTCAGGATTCCTCCACTCTAGTTGCAAAATAACACTGAGTAGACTCAACAAACGCAGTGTTTTGAATCTGCTACAACACTGAAATAACTACCTTACTTTTAAGCTTATGTTTCTCTGAAAACAGGGCCGGAGTACCCAGCAAAAGCAGATCAAAATGATGATTTATGGGGACCAGACCAGTGGCACAGTGGCTAAGTTCACACGCTCCACTTCCTTGGCCCGGGGTTCACAGGTTTGGATCCTGTGTGCAGAGCTACACACCGCTTATCAAGCCATGCTGTGGCAGGCGTCCCTCATATAAAGTAGAAGAAGATGAGCAGATGTTAGCCCAGGGCCAATCTTCCTCAGCAAAAAGAGGATTGGCAACAAATGGTAGCTCAAGCCTAATCTTCCTCACACACACACACACACACACACACACACACACACACACACACACAAGATGATTTATGAAGTACCACCAGACAAGAAAGAATGCAGAACCCAGTGTAAGACACACACCATGGACACCCACATCCAGTTTGGGATTCAGTTCTGCCAGGATCCTTAGATCTCAGACAATGTTGTGTTGTTAAGAATGAGCACAGAGCAAATGCATGCAATAATTACCTTTTCATCTGGAGGCGGAATATAAATAATCTTATCTAATCTTCCAGGCCGTAACAAGGCATCATCTAACACGTCAGGTCTATTTGTTGCCGCAACAATCATGACATTTTGATTAAAAACTTCTTGTAACTCTAACTGAGGGAAAACACACAACACAAAGTCATGTCAATAAATTGTTAATTAAATGTATCTTTTTTTTTAATAACAAATCTGAAGGCCCATTTATTTTTAAATAGGGATATCTTTTTCTTGGGACCGGAATGTTTATACTCCTATCCAGACCACCTTCTCAATATCAAGGTACCCCAGAAACAAATTATTAATCAAAGGGCTACTTTCTGCACATGGTGAAGGGACTGGCAAGTCCTGAGGGACATCTCGCCATGTGAGAACCAATGAAAAGTTATACCTTTATACTCTCCTTATACCACAGCAGAGAACGTCTACCTGGTGACCTGAATGCACCTGAGCCCCAGTGAATGCCTACACCTTAAACGGACGATGTGAAAAAACAGCACACGACTAACATGGAGATGTATGGCTGTGAAAAGTCTTGGCTCGCATGTCCTTGAAGAGGGAGATTTACTTTACTTTTTATTTATTTTTCTTCCAGAGGCAGAAATATGACAATTAACATAACTTGCAGGTATGTAAATTCTGAATGAAGATAAGAAATATCTAGAAGCAGTCAGGGCAAGGCCTTACACATGCTAAGCGTTCAAAATTGTTTGCTGAACTGAATCATCAGAGCAGTCCTTCAGTGATGTGCTCTCTCAAAGCAGTGAGTTCTCTCTATCTGCAAGGATTTTAGCAGAGGCTGGGTAACCACCTGTCAGATGCTGTAGAAGGAATTCCTGCATTATGAGGAGATTTGATTAGATAACCTCACGGGTCACTTTGAATTCTAGTGGCATATGTTCCTAAGGAGCTGTAAGACTCTCCTTCCATGGAATGATTTTAAAAATGGGAAACAAGTAAGAACAAGAAAAGAATAAAAGAAAAATACTATCAGGAATTATTTAAGGACACCAAACTCTACCTGGAGAAGGCTCAGAAGGGAGGAAGGGGACTTCCAAAGGTCATTCTAACTTCATTATAACCAAGGAAACCTACTCAAGAAAACTGGAAGTTCTCAATTACTAAGATTATTGGAAATAATCATCTGTTTTGTTTCATATAAAAAATTTTAGAAAGAAATGAACACTGGTTTTTCAGGATATAGAAATAAGAAGAAACTCCCTTCCCCATTAGCAATATGTAAAGTTATATTTCTAAAACTTAGGAAAAATAAAATTCACATTCATATATATCTAATATAATTTATTATAAACTTTACCTCACCTTTCCAGCTAAATTACAATTTTTACCAGCTCTATAAAAATCCTAACAGGGTCAAATTGAAATTATATAATTCTTTCTATGAGATGAATCCAGCATAGGAAAAGCTAGTGCAGATGCATTCTATTTAATGTTGACCTGGATTTTGGGTGTATTCTGGCTAATAAATACCTCTTCATTTTTTTTCAGCTCCTTGTATTTACCCTGTTGATCTGATGTACTTCCTCTTCTCTCTATCGTCTTCAGTCCAACACCATCTAATTCGTTCAGGAGAACAGAAAGAACACGCTCTTGAACATCGTATCCTGTTTTGCTGATTGATCGAGAGCCCAAGATTGAATCAATTTCATCCAAAAACACAATTGCTGGAGTATTTGCTCTTGCTTGTCGAAATACCTTTTGTTAGGAAAATAGAAATATTAAAAAGCTATACTCTGTGCCTTTTCATGTCAATGTATGTTTTCTGCATTACTAATTATAAATTTAAAAATGTAAAAAGAAGAAATTCCAAATGTCTAAGAATTGGGGAATGAATAAATAAAACAAGAAACAACAGAGTCTTATGTAGGGATTAAAAATTATACTTTCGAAGAATATTTAATATTACGGAATTTTAAAAGTGATAAAAAGTCACAATAACGCATATCTCCTGCCCAAGGAAACAGAAAGACAAAGGAAATTTACCAAAATGTTAACAGTAGGTAGAGGAATTATATAGGATTTCTTATTTATACTTTTCTGTATTTTCTATAAATAAATATGTATAACTTTTCTAATAGGAAAAAAGCCACTTATATTTTAAAAAATAAGGTTTATCTTTATGGCATGAAATGAAAATTCAAAAGTAAACTTAACTACATGAGGAAAACAAACAAACAAACCTGAGACAAGACTTTTTCTGAATCTCCAACAAAAGGTGAAAAGAGATCAGCTCCGCTCACTGAAACAAAAGAGCAATGACAGCTTGTGGCCAGGGCCCTCACCAGGGTGGTTTTAGCACATCCAGGGGGACCATACAGGAGAACTCCCTTTGGTTGTGTCAGGCCCAGCCTAACAAATTCCCGAGGGAACTTCAGAGGCCATTCAATGCTCTACAAGTACACAAAAAGAGACAGTTGTTTTAGTATAACAATAAAACATCAAATAATTCAGTAAATGCATTTTTTCATTCAACAACTCTCAGGTACCTGTTAAGAGCTGGATGTGCAGTCCATTCTCCACACAGCAGCCAGTGATCTTATACCTGAGTCAGGTCACATCACTTCCTGCTTCAATGACTTCCCGTCAGAATTAGAATACAGCCCAAATCCAGACTCCTCACCTACCACTACTTACAGGCCTTACATAACCTGACCATCACCCCAACACCCCAGTTCAGTCCCCTCTCAGGCCCTTTCCCTGCTCTTCTCTCTGCCTGAACCCTCCCTCCAGATCTTTGTGTGGCTATCCCTCATCATTCAGGTCTCAGCTCAAATGTCATTTCCTTGGGGAGGTCTTCCTTAACCACTGTAGTTAAAGAAGACCCTCCTCCTCCTAGTCACTCTACGCTACTGCCCATCTTTTACTTTTGGAGCACTTATTCATTCACTCTCTGAAATTATTACTTTTCCATGTTGGGTTTGTCATTCTGCTCCTGCTAGAATGTAAGCAAAGTTCACTTCTAAATCCCCAGGACCTAGAATGACACCTTCACAAAATATACACTCAATAAATGATAACTGAATACTAAATAAAGCCTCCCTACTTCTGAAGTACATGGTTTTGTTACCATCATAATTTAACAGATGCAGAGACTCAGGCTTAGAAAAGTTAAGTAACTTGCCAGGGTCATGTTGCTAGTGAGGTGGCAGAAAAAAGACTGACCCCAGGCAGTGTCTTAACTACTGATATATTGCCTCTACAAAAGAGGGATAAGACAAGACCCCTACCCCTAAGGAACTGATATTTTAGTTGGAGAGACAGGCTTATAAACTAACAACCAGGTCAGAGAAGGGCACTCGACGGAGAAGGAACAATACAACCAGAGACACATGAAACCGTCTAATTCATCCCCCAGCAGGAACAGAAAGCAATGGAGCAAAGAATGAAGTGGAGGTAGGAGTCAGATCACACTGGGCCTTGAAAGTTTTAGTCAATATTGAGGAAGCAGTATGTAGAACGGACTGGAAGGAAATAAAACTAGAGGAAGGGAAACCAGTTAGAAGCCTCTTACAATGATTCAGACTACAAAAATAATAAGGCAGTACAGATGGTATAGAAGGGATGGATTTGAAACATAAAAATGTAATTGTATTTTACGCAGGGACTATGTTCTAAATCCAGAGGGGAAGCTGCACGTGTGTATGATGTGACTCATGTGTTGAGAAGACAGGTTCCTGACTCAGGGGATAGGGCGGCTGGCCGTATTCACTGAAGGAGGGAACCCAGGTGCAGAGGTGGAGCTGATTAGCTGAACTCTGGACATGCTGAGTTTGAGATCCCTGGGAGTTGTCCAGTAGACAGGCAGCTAAGTAGTTCTGATGATCAAAAGAACGATCGACACTGGATATAAAGATTTTTGAGTTAACAGTTTTCAGGGGACAGTTGAAGCATTGAGATCATAGACTTATTCAGAGAATGCAAAGAGGACTCCCAGGAGCTTGGAGCTCTAACATTTAAAGCACGAGAGAGAAGTATTCAGAAAGGCAAGAAAGTTTAACATCTCAAAGCTAAAGAAAGAATGTTTCCAACAGGAAGGTGCAGCTAATCTCTCTCATGTATTTTGTGAAGATTAAATGAGACAATGCATGTAAAACATTAGGGCACATTATAAATGTGCTTATCCACGGACACAAGGGTTATAGTGTTCAATGTAGATATAGCTCCTAGTTAAGACGAATAAATTGTAATTGATACTTATAAATCAGTCTTTTGTATGTGTGGTTAGAGATACCTAGTTCTTTACGGCAGGATCACCCAAACGTAAATTGGCAAAGTCAATTTCTGAAACTGAAATGCAGGTAAGAGGATCTGGAGAGTTGTGTGTCTCAACATCCACCATGAGAACCAGTACCAAGTAGCCATCCAGGCCATAGTGACTGTTTATTCTAATTTCGGGCTTTTACCAGACCCAAGGCAAAATCAGAATCAAAATCTACGAACTAAGAATTTGTATTTTGTACAGCCCACGAACTAAGAATCATTGTTACATTTTTAAATGCTAAAAAAAACCCAAAAGAATAATAATTTGTGACATGTGATGAAAATTATACGATTTCAGTGTCCATAAATATATAAGCTCCATCAGAACACAAGTACTCATCACACGTTGTCTACACTGGTTTTGTGCTACGACAGCAGGGATGAGGGGTTGCAACAGAGACCATACGGCCCACAAACCCTAAAATATTTAGTATCTGGCCCTCTACAGAGAAAGTTTGCTAACTCCTGTTCTAGATTATAAGCTCTTTAAAGCAAAAAACAAACAAAAAGAGGATGAGGTTGGAAAAAATGAAAAATGGTATTTAATGTGTATACAAGTCCAGTTAAATAAGGGCTGAAAAGTGACCACTGGATTTACATGTTAGAATCCCATCAGTGAAGGCAGTAAGAACAGTTTCAGTGTAGCTTGTTTTCATCATAAATGTACTACCCTTAAACTGTAATATTCTACTGGCTCAAGCAGACTCTCTATTTTACCTGTTTTAACTTCAGTTTTACATCTTCAAGGCCACCAATCTGCTCCCAGCCAACAGGCTTTATGTCCATTAGTCCAATGACACTTCGAAATGATGAAGGTTGAATCTTTTTAAAAGCTTCAAAAAAGTCTGTTTCATCAATCATCGGATTGTCCTGATTCTGAAGAAATACATCCAAAAAAGTAAAATCAAACCAAAAGTTAGGTGGGCCTTTTTTGTGGTACACAAGCAGGGTTACTTTTTTTTTGTAAATCCTCTTTTGAATTTGTAAATTTTGTTATCATTATAAAGAAATTTATACACATAGTACACAGAATTAAATGTCTCTCTCACCCAACTCCCTCTAATAGTCATCCCCAGAGGATGTCAACCGTTTCCTGTGTATTCTTCCCATGTTTTATGACAATAAGCATATGTATACCCTTTCAAACAGATACACAGATGGGACCATACTGTACATATTAATTTGTACTTTTCACTTATCTTACAAATCTTTTCATGTCAACTAATATAGTTCTACCTCACTCTTTTTGATAATTGCATAACACAGTATTGTATGAGTGTACCATAATTTAACTACATCCTTCTGTTTAACCTTAGGTTGTTTACAGTCTTTTTTTTTTTTTTAATTTATTTTTTCCCCAAAGCCCCAGTAGATAGTTGTATGTCATAGCTGCACGTCCTTCTAGTTGCTGTATGTGGGACGTGGCCTCAGCACGGCCAGAGAAGCAGTGCGTCGGTGCGCGCCCGGGATCCGAACCCGGGCCGCCAGTAGCGGAGCGCGCGCACTTAACCACCAAGCCACGGGGCCGGCCCTCCAGTATTTTGAAATTAAACAAAGCTGCAACTGAAAGTCCTTGTGCACATGTTCAAGCATTTATATAATTTCCTCAAAGCAGAATTACTAGGTTTAAGAGTATGCACACTTAGAATTTTGACAGCTATTCTAAACTGTCCTCAAAGCTGCACCAATAACATGAAGCTGTTCTCCCTACACCTCTCTGACACTGGACATTACCAAACTTTTAAATTTCTGCCATTGTGAGAGAGGAAATGATACTCATTACTGTGTTAATTAAATTTCTTCAATTAAGAGTGAGGTAGAGGGAATGACGGAATTAGAAAATCAGCTTTTTTGCAACCATCACAGTAAAGGCTGTTTGGGGCAAGAATCATCAATGGATATTAATGTAGGGGAGGGAAAGCTTGCCGTGAAGCAGGATATTTGCACGATCTCAAAGGGTCTCCTCACAGATTTCTTATTAGTTGCAAAGAGAAAAACAACAGCTATATAGCAGATAAACTGGACAAATCCTTGACTGGCTGATCACATCAGTCCAATGAGAGGCATCACCAATGAGGGGCAGGAGGATATCTTGTGCCTCCACCTGTGACACCCTAAGAAGGACACACTATCACTCATGTAATATTCCCAAGAGGCATGCAAAACCTGAATCTGGCTATGAAGAAACATTAGACAAACCCAAATTGAGAGACATTCTATAAAATCACTGACCTGCATCCTTAAAAATGTCAATGTCTAATGTCTCACATACAAAAAAAGCTATGGGAGTGTTCAAGATTAAAAGAAACTAAAAACTACACGCAACAATTATCCTGGACTAGATCCTGTACCAGAGGAAAAAAATGCTAAAAAGATTGAGACAATTCCCAAAATCAGAATATGTCTCAATTGTAGATTTGACAACATTTTGTATCAATGTTAAATTTCTTGAATATAATGATTATACATAACCATACTACGGTCATGTATGGGACCATAGTGTTCTTAGGAAATAGACATTAAAATATTAAGGGAGGGGCTGGCCCCGGTTAAGTTCGGTGCGCTCTGCTTCCACAGCATGGTTTGCGGGTTCAGATCCCAGGCATGGACCTACACCACTCGTCAGCCACACTGTGGCACCAACACACATACAAAATAGAGGAAGATTGGCACAGATGTTAGCTGAGGGCTAACATTCCTCAAGCAAAAAAATAGGAAGATTGGCAACAGATGTTAGCTCAGGGTGAATCTTCCTCAACAAATAAAAAGAAATATTAAGGGATAATGGATTATGACGTATGCAATCCATTCTCAAATAATTCAGAGAAATAAATAATGAGTATACATATACATACAGAGAGAGAGAGAAAGAGAATGATAGAGCTCATTGGGCAAAATGCTAAAAACTGGTGAACTTGGGTAAAGGACTTAGAGGGAGTTCTCTATCTTGCAACTCTCTTTGAAGTTTTAATTATTTCGAGATAAAAAATTTAAAAAAAGAAAAAGAACTGAAAGAGACTAATTTTTAAAGAAAGTAAAGATGAGGATTCTTCATGTTTATTGGCCATTTATAATCTTTTTACTATCAACTACCTGTTCATATCTTATTACCCATTTTCTCTTGGATTGCTGGTCTTATTGATTTGTGAGAGTTCTTTCTATATCAAGGAAATTGTTCTTTTTGTCATGGCTAAAAGTATTTTTCCCAGTCTGACTCATGTCTTACCTTTGCTTACAGTATTTTTTTGTTATTCCAAAATGGTCAAATTAGTAAATCATTTCCTTTTTGGCTATTGGGTTTTATGTTATGCTTAGAAAGGCTGTCTTCACTCTAAGATTCTATCTTGGAGAATTCTTGCAATTTCCTTGTTCATTCTAGTGAAGCAGATTTTTTGTTACAGTTAAAAACTCTCTATATTTCTATTTGTAATATCTGTATTATATATAAGTATTTGCCCTCTTATATCAAATTCTGAACATCTAGTTGTCCCAAAATTCCCACTTGCAATAACAAACTATTTTATTCCATTTACGTAAGATTATATAAGTGAATATATAGGTATAGAGCTATTCTGAACAGCGTAACTATAATCTCTGGGAGGTGAGATTTCAGGCAATTTTTACTTTCTTTATAATTTTTTATCTTGTATAATTTCTCACAAAGAACACTATTAAATAATTTTTTACAATAGCTTTTTTTTGTACTGGCTAGCAGTGTTAAATGTTGGGTACCTGAATACTAATTAACTTTTAGTAACTAACTAACTAACATTTGAAAATCCCATTTATACTTCAAGATCACTTGTGTGTACATTATTTCACTTGATTCTCATAATCCTTTCAGGCAGACAAAATTCTTTCCTCTCTGCGTGTATATGTTAAACTATATTTCTAATCCCTTAACAGGAACACTTCACAAAAAGGTGAACAAATTTTATTGTGTCCCTTGTCTGCCCTGGCACAGACAGAGGCAGCTGCCTGGAGGGGAGAGAAGAAAAAGACGGAGCCAGTACCTTCCCAGACGCCTGTGTCCCTTCTTCCTTTTTGCCTTTCTTCTTTCCACTTCCCCTGGTTGTTTATGAACTGAGCCACCACCTGTGGCAACTACGCCTGGGCAGGCCCCTCCTGAAGTAGCAGGGGGCTCCACCCTAGGAGACAGCAGCTGGCTGGTCCACCTAAGCCAAGATGCTTAAGGTCAAACCTGGAACTTCAAAGCACAGGGAATCCTAAATGTAAATCTCCTTTCCCATCTCCTGGCATGCTTGTCCTCCCCTCAGAAGGCATATATTCTCACACCTTTACACATGGGACTTGTCATCAAATCTTCAAGCAGTTTTGGTTCTAAATCCACAAGATGAGGACTTACAAGTTCACATAACTCCTTCCCCACCTTCAGCGTAAGAGCAAAAATAAAAAAAAGGAAATGAGGAAGGATGGAAATTATCTAGGTAAAAAGGTTTTCAAAAGTTAGCATGATAAATCATCCTTTTATAGTTTAAACAAACTCAAAATTGGGTCTTAGAAATTATAAGATCAAAGGACAATTTTAATGTTACAATAGAGATTAAAAACTTTGTCCCAGAATCCTCAGCATGCTGAAATTAATTTTTTTCTGAAAGAGTTTAGGGATTCAGGATTATGTGTTACATACAAAGTGAACAGATTTTCCAATCCATAGTGTTGAAAACTATTATACTTAAGCTAATATCCTAAACATTTTTAAGAAAGGTGGTCATGAATTAAAGATGTGACTGTTAAAGACAAATTTAAATAAAATTCCAGGCATCCAAACTTCTCCTGGGTTAGAAAAGGTTATTTTCCCTACAAGATACTTATAATAACAAAGGGAAAAATAGTATCTTGACAATGGAGAAATATCAGAGATACCACCTTATCCAAGAAATCAAAGTTAACTTCACTAGTAACAGGACAGAGGTATCAACTGCTAGTTAGGAGATGCAATGATAAGAACACAGTATCATTTCTGTGACATTCCTGCCAAAAACGCAAAACCTGAATCAAATCATGAGGAAACATTAGTCAAACCCAAACTGTGAAATATTCTACAGAATAACTGACCTGTACTCTTAAAAAGTTAAAGTCATAAAAGAAAGAATGAAAAGAAAGTCTTCTGAAAGACTCTAGAAGAATGGTTCTAGATTAAAGAAGATTAAGAAATCATGACAACTAAATGCAACGTGTAATCCTGCATTAGAAAATAATTTTTTCTTTTTTCCTTTTTAAATTTTTGATAAAAAGGAAATCAGTGGGACAAATGGAGAGATTTGGATAAGGTCTACATTGATTAGGTAAAAGTATCCTGTCAGTGTTAACCTCATCTTGATAATTGTACTGTGGTTAAAGTCCTTGTTTTAGGAAACACACACTCAAGTTTTCAAGGCTAAAAGGGCATCATGGCTGCAGTATATTCTCAAATGTTTCAGAAAATACACACACACATATATAAACACACACACGTGAAGAGAGAATGATACAGCAAATGTGGTAAAATGTTACATTTGAAGAATCTGGGTGAAGGATACATAGAAATTCTTTGTATTATTTCGGCAACTTTTCTCTAAGCCTGAAATTGCTTCAAAATAAAACAAAATTCAAAAGAAATATGTTTGATTCTTCTGGAGCCACACTGTCTTTTTTCTGGCTGCTCTAGGCTTTAGCACTAGGGAATTACTATGAGAGTGGGGGAAAATGCCCTGGGTAGACCTGCAGGACTCAGCCCTCCATCCCCACTTTCAGTCATATACTATCTATATGGAGTTGAGATGTAAAAATACACAGGTGTCCCTTGGTATCCGAGGGGGATTGGTTCCAGGACCACCGCAGATACCAAACTCCGAGGATGCTCAAGTCTCTTACTCGGCCCGGATAAGGGAACCCATACGCAGGTACAGAGGCCAACTGTATGTAAGGAAACAGCTGTGGAAAGTATCAAAAATTCCAAGAAAATATACTTACCACTTTTTTATTCCCAAATTAATTTGTTACATTAATAAAATGTTTAATGTAGATGGTCATAAATCAATACTTTTACCTTCTCACTATGAAGCAGAGCGTGCACGGCAGCCTCCCTACAGAGTGCAGTCAGGTCAGCGCCAACATAGCCAACTGTCATTTCTGCAAGGAGGCTCAAATTGACTTGACTGGAGATGGGCATCTTCGAGGTAATCACTTGTAGAATCTCCTTTCTTTGTTTAAGTGTGGGAGTCCCAATGACAACCTATACACAAAGCAAAAAAAGAAAAATTAAAGTTTACAGTTTAAAGTATTACTTTTTATCCTCACAAACATGTATAATATTTAGTGAACAAATCTGCAATTATTACTAAGTAGTCTTAAGCATGCTTAGATTCTGAACATGTGAATATCCTAATTTTCCAGAGGAGTAACACTGGCTAGAAAGTTGCACAATGAAAATTATGTCATTTAATAAGTTTTTATTTGTCATTTTTGAGACCCTACCAAGTTCTAGGAGCCAAGGATACAATAGCAAACCAGATAATCTAGGTCCCTGCCCTTTCAGAGCTTATTCAGGTGACAGGTACTAGAGGGTGCAAGGAAGAAATCCATTCAAGCTCTGAACAGATTAGGCTAAAAGTAGGCAATTATCTTCTCTTTTTAAAATCCTACCACAAAGTTCAAACATCACTTAAATTAACCACTATTCAAACTATTTAATAGAAATCAAGAATCAAGTTAGGACTGAAGCTTATAAAACAGGACAGCTTTGAATACTCAACCTTCCCGGCAACTCAGTGAGCAATTGTGGGTACTTTCTCCATTGCGGGATGGGATGCTGGCATCCTGACAAGGAATGAATAAATCCAGAAGAACTAATGTCTGCTCTGATTAGTTCTTCCCTGCCTTCTCCCTTTTTATTTCAACAGTTACTTCTTGAGGCTGTCCCTCTAAATTCTCATTCCAAATCCGTAAGAGTTTAATACACATGTAGCAGACCTAGTCCCTTAAAGATTAACATTACTGATAACAGTACTCATCCTCAGGAACTGAACGACAAAACTAATCCCTAATGGCCACTTTGCTTCTCAGGACAATTTGACTCTAGGGAAAAACAGGTCCCGGCTCAAAGATCATATATGGACAGAGAAATGTGTTCTCTGCGTTACAAAGACCCCCACTCCAGCCTCACCGACTCTCAACCAGGGCCAGAAGAGGCCGAGGATCCAGAGGCAAAGGGCTAACCGACCGGGCCTATTTACCTCTCGGTCAAATCTCCCAGGTCTGCGCAGCGCTGGGTCAAGCGCATCCGGCCGGTTGGTGGATCCCACCACCACCACCTCGCGGTCTCCACCGATGCCGTCTAGCAGCGTCAACACCTGGGCCACCACGCGGCTCTCGGGGGCTCGGTGTGGGCCGCCCCGCCGGGGACACAGGGCGTCGACCTCGTCCAGGAAGAGGAGGGTGGGCCCGCGGCTGGCCAGCTCCCGGGCGCGCTGGAAGACCCGCCGCACGTTCTCCTCGGTCTCGCCGGGCCGGGCGCCCTGCAGCGCGGGGGCGCTCACGGCCAGCAGCTCGGCGCCCGCCTCCCGGACCACGGCCCGCACCAGCTGGGTCTTGCCCACTCCGGGGGGGCCCGCCAGCAGCACCCCGCGCGGCACTGCGAGCCCCAGCGCGGCCACGGCGCGCGGGTAGCGGAGCGGCAGGCGGAGGAGCTCCCGCAGCGAGTCGGCCGCCTCCGAAAGGCCCCCCAAGGGCACCTCGGGCTGCGGCTCCGCCTCTGCCGGAGGCTCCTCGCCGAGACCGATACGGGTGCGAGGGGTGACCAGCCCGGCCGGCTCCGGGCTGGGCGTCCCGCTGACGATGTGCAGGGCGGCCACCGGGCCGGGGGCGCCCGGCGGAGCGGCCACCACGTGGCCCCGGGAGACCGGTCGGTTCCTCAGCAGCTCCTGCGCCGCCTCCAGCACCGCGGCTGGATTCGGGGCACCGGGCGCCCCCGCCCGCTCGCGCAACACCGGCCACACGGTGAGGCGCTGAAGGGGCGGGCAGGGCACCAGGCGGAGGCAGCTCAGGCTGAGACTCCCCCGGGACCCCGGCGCCCCCACCGCCGCCCCGCGGCTCGCGCACTGCGGGTCCAGTTGCACAAAGCCTTCCGCTCCGTCCCGCCGCGGCCAGGCGGTACAGAGGCAGGAGCCGCCGTCAGGCAGCGAGATCTTCACCGCCGAGCCCAAGTGCGCGCCCAAAGCGCGGAGGGCGCTCGGGCCCAGGCGACAGCGCTGCGTGCCCCGGTCCCTGGCGTCTAACGGTAGCAGCTTTAAGAGCGGCCCTTCGGGAGAGGGACCTGAGTCCGGAGCCATTGCACACGGAGGAAGCGAGGCCAAGCAGAGCGCGGTAGCAATTCCACTCGGGCCGGAAAAGCCTGTACCCCGCGCTTCTCGGCCGGAAGAAGGTGACGCGCATGCGCCAGGGAAGACACTCAGTTGCTAGGAGGCCGAAAGGGCCAATCGGAAAGTTAGACAATGCTTCGGCCTCGGGCCTATAGACAACGCTTCGGCCTCGGGTCTAGTTTGTTGTGGTGTCCGGTTTGATGAAATGCAGTCGCCCGTTCCAGAGCTTAACGGACAGGGTCTTTGTTACAGGTGTGTGGGAGGCCGCTGGGAGGCAGCGTAAGCTAACTTCACTGGGTCAGTAAGCATGTACCTTGGTGGCTTGGGGAGTCACGGGCATAGCGTACTCTTGCTCTGGCTCTCGGACTCGAGCATCACCACCTGCGCCTTTGGAGTATCAGCATAGAGACTGTGCTATTTTATGAAGAAACCTCGACTGTCCCCATGGGTACAGTATTTTGGAGTGCTTTGGTGCTAATGTCTTAGGTGACTTGGAGTAACAGAAATACAGCCTTGGCGCCTTCCATAACCTGCGTTCCAACCTGTTTGGAAGGTTCATGCGTGCCCTTCGTATAGAAAAGCACCAGCAGCGCAAGAAAGAAGTACAGTGTAGCATTTAAGTCCCTTGGAGAGGAGAGAGAAGGAAAATCAGGCCATCTAATGTATTTGTAGCACAGTACATTCTGTTCAGATTCCTGATTTACTCCTTTGAATGTTCTTTGACGACTTAATCATAACCTTTTCTGTTCATGTGATAAATGCTTATTGCCTGTTTGAGGCACAGCAGTACTAAGTCCTGTATTAGAGATGATGCTTGTCTACATTATTAAGATTACTGCCTGCTATTCTCTTTCCACCTTTCCCTTCCTCTCCCCGCAGGGAATTTCCTCCATATCAGCTGGAATACATTTCCTATCCTTTTTAATTCTGCTTATCAAAAAGATTGCTGATTCTATGAACTGAAAAGTACCAATTAAAACACCAAAATGTAGAACCACAAGAGGGAGTCCAGAACCAGATAAGCCCGAAGGTCGCAGGATTGTTGAATTTGAAGTGTTCTCAACTATGGCTTCTACGAGGTTTTCCCAAGATTCACACCCAGGTGGATGAAATTGTCTGTTGTCTATATAGTTACTTATTTTTACATGATTTCTCCATGCCTCAGACCATTTTCAAACCTCACTTTCCAAGTTATAATTTAATTGCTGTATTAAATATCAAAATGAGACTGTCCCCAAATCCAAAATTTAGTGGTGGATCAAAATCCAAACAAACTGAATTTATCTTGCTATATAGCCTAGAAATAACTCTAGCTTTGAGTTGTTTCAAATAGTCTTGCTAAAGGAAATCTTTTGTGAGATTTTCCTGAAGAGATGCATTTAACAAATAGTTTCTCTTGATTTCAGTTGCTACTTTCAAGGTTACAATCTGTCTAATGATAAATTAACTATAAACATTCTTAATTAGCAACAAATCTAATATTCAAAAGAAATAGTTGGAACGTGTTTCTTTTTTAGAATAATGATTGCACCTTATTTGTGTGCTGTCAGCATCAATAATATTACATATTAAGTATATTTCAGGGTGTGAAACATACCATAATTGTGAAAAATCTAAAGAAAATGGTTAAGCCAGTAGCATGAGTCATCTATAGATCCATGAATGCTAATTTTTCTTATGTTTCCATTTTAATATTATGTTCAACCCTAATATATTTGAACAGTAGCAATGATTATGAGTTGTAATAGATAAGTATAGAGATTCATTTAACTACACTTGAAAAGGCATGATTTGTAGCTGCTTCCATCTCAACATGTTCATGCAGATATATGAAGTGACCTATTTCCACAGATACCTAATATACCAAACAGATTTTCTTATTTTAATGTATATAATGAAAACCCTCTAAAATAGGACATCATTAAAATTGTTCTTTAAATTTTTCCACCCTTAGTCTTTCTCATATATCAAAGCTAGAATTATTCTTTACAAGATACAGAGTCAGGGGAAGGGGGGTGAGTAGAGCCATCAGAAATCTTTGCTGGACTACAAATGACCTGCAGACAATAGTTCACAGAAAACCACTGTGCAAGTCTGTCCTTGCAGATTTTCAGGAAACTGCTTATTTCATCATTTTTTAGAAGTTAAATCTAAGATAATTATTCCCAATGATGTTGGTTCAAACTGTTGAATAATAAGTGATCATATTCATGTATTTATTAAGCAAATATTTATTGAACATATACTTTGTGCTACTTAGTAGTAGTACCAGAGACTGAGTATATGGTGGCAAAAAAAGGAATCCGTGCCTTCTCCAGGTTTATAGTCTAGTGGGGAAGTCAGGCATTAAAGGACTCAACAAATGAATAAACCGTAAGTGAATAAAATTAAAGATGATGAAAACTGTTGTGAAGGAAACTAAACAGAAAAGGGCTACTTTACACAGAAAGCAGGGAAGGCATCTCTGAGGAAGTAACATTTAAGCTGAAACCTGAAGGATGAGAAGGAGCCAGGCAGAAGAATTGGGGATGGAGTGGGGGGAGGGGGGAACCAGTCAGAGGGAAAGGCCTTTGCCAGTGCCCTGAAGGCGGAAAATGCTTGCTGTGTTTAAGAAATTAAAAGAAGCCTAGTTTTGTCTTTACCATACCTTTGGCACTTATGTTCTATTTTTTTTCAAATTGTCTTACATATGGATGGGTATTTTGTTACTGTGAGTAGGTAGTAAGTAGTTTAAGGGTAGAAACTAGCTTTAAAAATATGTATCTATGGGGGCTGGCCCTGTGGCGTGGCAGTTAAGTGCGTGCGCTCCGCTGCTGGCCGCTGGGTTCGGATCTGGCACGCACCAACGCACCACTTGTCAGGCCATGCTGTGGCAGCCTTCCATATAAAGTGGAGGAAGATCAGCACAGATGTCAGCCCAGGACCAGTCTTCCTCAGAAAAAAAAAAAAAAAAAAATAGGATTGGCGTGGATGTTAGCTCAGGGCTGATCTTCCCCACACACACTCAAAAATATATCTATGGTATACTTCACAGGAATCGAGTAGTGTGCTGGAATCTAGGTGTGCTCAGTAAATACTTGTTGAATTGAGTTTCTTTGAAATTAGGGAATAGAGTCTGGTGACCTATGCTATGTGGGTTAGATCTTGTTCTATCCAGACACATTTAGACACTAGTCAGGGCAAACTCAGGTAGACCTCAAGGGTAATCTTCAAGGAGGATGTCCCTGCTCCTGACTGAGGCCACTGCTCCTGCCACTTCTATCATTCATCTCTCCTTCTTTTGACATTTTTTTAAAATTTCAGTAAATCAATCATTATAATCGTCTGTTAAAATTCAGGATTGTCGCCACAATCATTGCTAATGTTCAATGTATCTTAAGGTTGAATATAACGTGCAGTTGGAAACCCATGTGCTTCTGACTTGTCTAAACATTCATCTTCCCTTTTCTCTACTATCAAGTGGAATCCTTACCACTTTTATTGGATTATTGCAACAGCCTCCTAACTAAACTCCATCTCTCCAGCCCCTCCTTACGTTGCCACTATATTAATCTAGCTAGGAAACTGCTGTACTTTGTCTGGTTTGGGGGTTATATCTATCTTAATAAATCCTAGATCTTTCAAACACTCAGACTTGTCTAAGAGTGCACCCAATGTTATGTAAGATCTGATCTTAGAGACTGAGCCAGAAAGAAGTCCAGCATACAGGAATAGGGAAGACACCATCTGAAAATGTTTTATTCATGATGACTTCCACGAAAGTTTATAAACTTTGATGAAGTTTAGTAAACTTTATTTTAAAAGTCTATTTTTGAACACTTTAAAGTTGATAAACTGTCCTTGACCTGTTTCCCCCTCCATGATAAGTGTTTCTGCCCTGGGTTTCCTCAATACCCTAGGCATGCCTCTTAGAGTGATTATCATACTGTATCACAGCTGTGGTCTCCTTGTCAGTCTAAACTCTTTAAGGACAGAAAATAGGTCTTGCTCTTCTCTGGATGCTGTGTGCCTGCCGCAGAGCCTGAAGCATGTAGGTGTAAAATAAAGATCTGTTGAATGAATGAATGAGTAGTGGCAAGGCTGGATTGGTAAAATAGGACTCAGTTGTGGAAAGCCTTGAAGGCCATTTCATGTGTCCGTTCTGTGTGCCAGGCAATGTGCTAAGAAATGGGCGGGAATGACATCCAAAGCACCATAAGGGAGAAGAGGACAGAGTTATAGTATTCATTCCCCCAAGTAAACTCTTTACTCCAGTCCATTCTTTTATAAATCCTCAACATAAATCCAACTTTCTCTGCATCTTTGGTTCAAATTGTTCTTGCCTTAGTCTGAGGTCCTGTAGCACTACCCATACATATATGTATCTAGTTACATTCAGTTTGTATTGTTAGGCAATTATTTAATGTGACTTTGTATCATCTCTCCAGTGAGATCTTTAAGAGATTTGGGAATTTGTACTACTCTTTTCTTTTTTTTTTTTTTTTTTATAATTTTATTTATTTATTTTCCCCCCCAAAGCCCCAGTAGATAGTTGTATGTCATAGCTGCACATCCTTCTAGTTTCTGTATGTGGGATGCGGCCTCGGCATGGCCGGAGAAGCAGGTGCGTTGGTGCACACCCGGGATCCGAACCCGGGCTGCCAGCAGCAGAGCACGTGCACTTAACCGCTAAGCCACGGCGCCGACCCCATGTACTACTCTTTTCTAATGTTTTATTTTTGCTCCCCATCCCCAACATTGAGCAAAATGCTAGATGCTTAATAATTAAATATGTCTGTTCCCTCAATTACTAGATTTGGTTTGAATTTGGGAGAATGAGCTTGAAGAATCTCAGAAAATCTGGTTTGAGTGTTATACCGAGATATATTCGGTTTGAGAATTCTACTTTATCATAATAAATCCTAGAGCTTTCACACTCTCAAACTTGGCTAGGAGTTAACCTAATATTAAATAAGATCTAGTCTTGGGAACTGAGCCAGAAACAAGGCCAGTCTACAGAAATAGGGAAGACACTATCTGAAAATAGTTTGTTTATAGTAATTCACAAATGTCTACCTCATCAAAATTTCCTCTAGTCCTTTGCTACACCCCATCCAAGAATGGAATGAAATCTTTACTTTCTATT